GTACTGAAATGTATATGATAGTGGATTTAGGTGGTACTGAAATGTATATGATACTGGATTTAGGTGGTACTGAATGGTGCATTAAGTGGATTTAGGTGGTACAGAATAGCATATTAAAGTGGATTTAAGTGGTGCTGAATAAAGCGGGGATGAATTGATGTGGCTGCTTATTTATATGGTTGATTTATGTAACGTATTTGTTTAAGCAATAGAGTTAGGCGAGTGATTGCCTAAGTGGCCGATTTTCGTGCTTGTTAGTTATGGAAATAAACTCAAGTGGAAATATACTCGAAGAAGGATTGAAATGGATGTTAAATTAGTTGATTTAGTTAGTAGTGATATTTAATTACTGCTTGAATTAGGTTGAGGTTCACTCTATAAGGCTAGGGAATTTTACAGAAGTTAATTATGATTAACTCAGGTATTAAATATTTTAGGCATAGGTGATTTAAGAAGGGGTGAATTATAGGAAGGGGTTAGTTTAGAAAGGGGGAACATTTGGGTAGAGGGGAATTTAAATCGAAGCAAAACTAACATGTTGCGAGATTAGTATGGAGTGGTTGTACATGTTGGTTTCGGCTGCTCGAGATAGTGGTTCATCACGTGATGGGACACAATTGTGGTAATTTTGAGTAGTGCTATATAATGAGAGGTAGCTGCAAGTAGTTTAAGTGGTGGTTGATTTAGGTGCATTGAGACGACAGAAACTGTTCATGTTTGTGAATTAATTTTTTTAAGATTTAAACTACTCACAGAGGTTGTTGAAGCAATCAATTTTAATGATGGATTAATCTCTTGGTGGACCTTGAAAGTGATGGATTAAAATTTCGAGTAAATGTGGATTTATGTAGGGGGGTAATATATCGAGGGTGTAAAAGATTTAGAAGCGGGGATTGGGGGGATATATCGAGGGTGTGGTGGAGTTAGGCAATGACAACGTTCCCATCAACATATTATTGGTTCAAGGTATCGGAATGCAAATTAGTGTGGCTTCGCAGTAATAGTAATAATTAGATGATAATTGATAATTTCGTGATATTGAAGCAGGTGCTATATATGTTTTTTATATTGTTTGATTTAGTAATAATAATTAGTTTTAGTAACGTATAATTGTTAGGTTATATAACATTATGTTTGACATCATGAACCACCGCCGTCGCCCACAGACTGACAAAAAAAAAAAAATACACATACATATGAATATACCAAAAAAACTTAAGATACTGCTTGAATGATCTAAGAAGAGGTCAGCATCATCACGTTTACGTTTAAAACGTTTAAACACGTTAAACAACACGTTTAAACAACACGTTTAAACAACACGTTTAAGCAACAATTTTAAACAACACGTTTAAGCAACAATTTTAAACAACACGTTTAAACACGTTTAAACAACACGATTAAAACAATAAAGACTGTTAGTAGGGACAAAAGGTCTGACACACTCTCCTAGATTTGGAAAAATTGATTTTTTTTTTTTATATTTCACAATTTTATTTTTGCAGTCTCACACATTTCCCGTGTAGCATCAGCAACGTATGCAAGTCTAGCCAGCATTTGAACAGTCTTCCACCTTGACAAAAGTTTCATTGTATGTTCCAAGTGAGCGGGTTGGAATCCTATTGATTTTCTCTCAATGGTGTCATTCATAACTCAGCCCGCCCTCTCGAGATGCCACAACGAAGAGAAAATGATGTACTAAAATACCCATACCTAACCTATCCGAACGACTCTTGCAAAGAAAATGTGTATTTTCATAGTGAGACACTATGATATATAGTGCATCATATTTTGTCCGTAGGGGAATTTGACGTCAAATGCGATGTGTTATTTCTAGAGACCAGGTTGCCTAATTACGCATAACACACATGTCAGACCAATTCTGAAATATGCAGTGTCGGCGTGGATATGTTATCTCGTTACAGAAAATTAATCAGTCGGAAATCCAATGGCTTACCAAGACACTAGTCCCAGACCTGAGAAGCAAGAGTTAAGAGGAAACGTTAAAGAAACTAGACATCACATCATTGGAAGGAAGAGGTGATACAACGGAGATATGATCACTATATATAAAATAAATATGTTTTAATATTTTTTATTCTTCAGAATACATTCTTAAGAATTTACAGACTAGACTAAACCAGCCAATTATAAAGTGACAATTCCACTAATTAGGGGTGAGGCAATAGCTAGGTATCATAATAGTCCACAAGAATATGATATATATCTTCAATATCAAAGAGGTAAAGTACTGAAATAGTCAGATGTTCAATTAAAGGTTCAAAGCCGGGATCCAAGAGCTAAATCTTAAACCGCCGCAAGGAGAAGTAATCAATGATACACTCACAGTTAAAATAACATTGAATATTCCTCAAATTTCAATACAATAATACAGCTCCAATACAACAGGCATTAATGCCAAATTTGGAGTCCGTTTATTTTACAACACTGATCCAAAATTGACCATAGATTAAAAAAAAAGGTCCCACGGCCTCATACAACCAAATACAGTAACACCGGAACCAACATGGACACCGAGTGGATATATACAGCGTCATACAAGGCTCTTTTGGTTTACACGTGTAAACGTGTAAATGGGCGTGTGTTTACACGCCCATTTTGTTTAGTCATGGGGGGGGTTATTGCCCGATGTTTACCAGTGGTGTGGGGCGCTCCACACCCATATTAGGACACCCCATGCGGCTGGTTTATTAAAAAGACTCGCTGTATTTAGTCACTACTACTGTGTAGTAGTGTTCCTCGTAACACATGTATCCCATACATGGCCCCACACCCTCAACACATGGTCTTCATGACTCACATTCGAATACATATTGCCCCGTCACGGTGTCCCAGATGATTATTTATTTACATATATGTACAAATTGTACACATGCCCTACATGTTGTACACACACATTACATATTGTACACACGCCCTAAATATTGTACACACGCCCTACATATTGTACACATGCCCTACATATTGTACACATGCCCTACATATTGTACACAACGCCAACATATTGTATAAAGGCCCTACATATTGTACACACGCCCAACATATTGTACAAAGGCCCTACATATTGTAAACACACCCTACGTATTGTAAACACACGCTACGTATTGTAAACACACCCTACATATTGTAAACACGCCCTACATATTGTAAACACACCCTACATATTGTAAACACACCCTACATATTGTAAACACACCCTACATATTGTAAACACACCCTACATATTGTAAACACGCCCTACATATTGTAAACACACCCTACATATTGCATTACATTACGTTACCATTAGATGTCTAGCACAATATGGCAATTCATTGTTATACAATATCCTGCCACACCTCACATTGGTCAGAGACGTCCTCTCCACATGGCTCACACTAGTCCACATGGCCCCACACTACTCCACATGGCCCCACACTACTCCACATGGCCCCACACTACTCCACATGGCCCCACACTACTCCACATGGCCCCCACACTACTCCACATGGCCCCACACTACTCCACATGGCCCCACACTACTCCACATGGCCCCCACACTAGTCCACATGGTCCCAACACTACTCCACATGGCCCCACACTACTCCACATGGCCCCACACTTCTCCACATGGCCCCACACTACTCCACATGGCCCCACACTACTCCACATGGCCCCACACTACTCCACATGGCCCCCACACTAGTCCACATGGTCCCAACACTACTCCACATGGCCCCACACTACTCCACATGGCCCCACACTTCTCCACATGGCCCCACACTACTCCACATGGCCCCACACTACTCCACATGGTCCCAATACTACTCCACATGGCCCCAACACTACTCCACATGGCCCCACACTACTCCACATGGCCCCACACTACTCCACATGGTCCCAACACTATCCACATGGCCCCCACACTAGTCCACATGGCCCCACACTACTCCACATGGCCCCACACTACTCCACATGGTCCCAACACTACTCCACATGGCCCCACACTACTCCACATGGCCCCACACTACTCCACATGGCCCCACACTACTCCACATGGTCCCAATACTACTCCACATGGCCCCAACACTACTCCACATGGCCCCACACTACTCCACATGGCCCCACACTACTCCACATGGCCCCACACTACCTCCACATGGCCCCACACTACTCCACATGGTCCAAACACTACTCCACATGGCCCCCACACTACTCCACATGGCCCCACACTACTCCACATGGCCCCACACTACTCCACATGGCCCCACACTACTCCACATGGCCCCACACTACTCCACAGGCCCCCACACTAGTCCCCCCACACTAGTCCACATGGCCCCACACTACTCCACATGGTCCCAACACTACACCACAGGCCCCCACACTAGTCCACATGGCCCCACACTACTCCACATGGCCCCACACTACTCTACATGGCCCCCACACTGCTCCACATGGCCCCCCACACTACTCCACGTGGCCACGACACTACTTCACATGGCCCCACACTACTCCACATGGACCCACACTACTCCACATGGCCCCACACTACACCACATGGCCCCACACTACTTCACATGGCCCTCACAGTACGCCACATGGCCCCACACTACTTCATATGCCAAACACTACGCCACATGGCCACACACTACGCTACATGGCCCCACACTACGCCACATGGCCCCACACTACGCCACATGACCCCACACTACACCACATGGCCCCACACTACGCCACATGGCCCCACACTACGCCACATGGCCCCACACTACACCACATGGCACCACACTACGCCACATGGCCCCACACTACACCACATGGCCCCACACTACGCCACATGGCCCCACACTACACCACATGGCCCCACACAACACCACATGGCCCCACACTACGCCACATGGCCCCACACTACACCACATGGCCCCACACTACACCACATGGCCCCACACTACGCCACATGGCCCCACACTACTCCACATGGACCCACACTACTCCACATGGCCCCACACTACGCCACATGGACCCACACTACTCCACATGGCCCCACACTACACCACATGGCCCCTCACTACGCCACATGGCCCCACACTACGCCACATGGCCCCACACTACGCCACATGGAACCACACTACTCCACATGGACCCCACATGCTACATGCCACATGGCCCCACACTACTCCACATGGCCCCACACTACGCCACATGGCCCACACTACGCCACATGGCCCCACACTGGCCCCACATACGCCACATGGCCCCACACTACGCCACATGGCCCCACACTACGCCACATGGCCCCACACTACGCCACATGGCCCCACACTATGCCACATGGCCCCACACTACGCCACATGGCCCCACACTACGCCACATGGCCCCACACTACGCCACATGGCCCACACTACCACATGGCCCACACTATCCACATGGCCCCACACTACGCCACATGGCCCCACACTACGCCACATGGCCCCACACTACGCCACATGGCCCCACACTACGCCACATGGCCCCACACTACGCCACATGGCCCCACACTACGCCACATGGCCCAACACTACTCCACATGGCCCCACACTACGCCACATGGCCCCACACTATGCCACATGGCCCCACACTACGCCACATGGCCCCACACTACGCCACATGGCCCCACACTATGCCACATGGCCCCACACTACTCCACATAGCCCCACACGGCTCCACACTACGCCACATGGCCCCACACTACGCCACATGGCCCCACACTACGCCACATGGCTCCACACTATGCCACATGGCCCCACACTACGCCACATGGCCCCACACAAATACGCCACATGGCCCCACACTATGCCACATGG